TTTTATAAATTATTAATGATGTTTTATATAAGTGTCATGTAAAATATTCGTGTCGGTTCTTAGATTTATGCTATTGTTAGTCCGAACTATTAACATTGATTCTGCCATGCTCCGTTTAAATAAGTCTTTCTCATGGAATAAAATTTGGGGATTGTCAAATTTGAAAGATTGTAAAATTCCATATAAATTTATTTCATGAGAAAGACTTATTTAAACGGAGCATTGCAATCAATGTTAATAGTTCGGACTAAAATAGCATAAATCTAAGAACCGACACAAATATTTTACATGACACTTATATAAACATCATTAATAATTTATAAAAATTTTTTCATTTATCTTATTCTTTTCAATAAATTAATTTGTTTTTTTCATTTTTATTGATTTTTGTATGCGATAGCACTCCTTTTTGTTTACATTATATGATACCCTCTCTGTCTCCATCTAGATAAGTACTTCAAATTTGTTTAGAATATTTCTGTAAGTGTTATAATGTTTCTTTAGTACTGTGTCAGCATTGCAAGGAATAGTTGGTGTTTTTTGTATATCATCAAAAATTAAATGAAATTTAAATAAATTATTAAAGAATGTGTAGTATATAAGTAACTGTTTTTGAAATTACACTGAAGATGAGACACACCATGGTCTCGAAACGTCTGTAATCATAAAATAAAGTTGTGTTAAACAAATCTGAGTGCTGTTTTATTCATATTAAACAATTAATATTCGGTACACTCATATCATAAAATTCTATAATATATATATATATATATATATATATATATATATATATATATACAGTAGAATCCGATTAGTATGACGCCGGATATTTTGACAACCGCTTAATACGACGTAATCGCACTAGGAATTTGGTTTCCATATAAAATTCCTTAACAGCTGTCTAGTCGGATATATTGACATCGCTTACATTGACATGTCGCTTATAATGACCCATTTTTTGCAAAAAAATATGTCCAACTATAATGACCGACATGATTTTACATGATGTGGCCAAGTCTACGAAAGCAATTGCTATGTCTTTTGTGCACAATGGCATCATGGACTGTTTTTACAATAAAATTATGTAAAGAAATCAATCAAAAATTACTGATTACTTACATTAAAAAAACACATTTGTATGTTTATGGGTAGGGTAGACTAATTATTAATGGCCCACCACGGATATCTCATAAACAAATAAAATTAGATTTTTTTTAACAATTATATTTGATAGTAGAAGGCGAAAAATGTATAAATTCATAACCAGCCATCACCTTTATTCTTATGACCTTGCTATCAGAAGATAAGCAGCACATGACTGCGATAAAAAGGACCAGCTGAATCTTTACTTTTGCAAAGGTGTAAGCAATAAAATAGTAAAGTTTAAAAAAAAGCAATTTCACAAGAGATTAATTGAATAAATTGTTATTCCAGCTCTTCTGATGAATATTTCTGACCAATAGCAGATCAATGTAATATACTGTGTTCTCTTTGTAACAAATGTACCCACAGAATTAATATCTTGCATTGGTTCAATAATGTAGTGTAAAATGCCTTTAAAATTTAATAGAAGAAATTGCATCTGTTCGCCCCCTGGTTGTTCCACTTTACCCCGTATGTGAAGTAAAATAGGTCAGATACCAAATGTTTAAAAAATAGTAAAAAATATAATATTTATATAATTAGGAATTATGTACGTATTACGTATGTATGTAAGTTTTTCTGAACATAGTTCGATAGATGCTTCTTTGATGTATGTTATGTGTTGTTCATTGGGTTTAGACAGTGTAATTACCATAAGTCAAATTGGACCGTTGTGCCCCCGCCCTACCCTATGTCAATTTTATTTTATATTAAATTTTAATGTGTCATTTTTATTTTTAATTAAAACGTTTGTATAGGCTTTTCTTTTAAATTACTGAAGCATGTAACATATTTGCATATTAAAAAGTTTTTCTTCAGTACGCTTTTGATGACGACCGGTTAGTATGACGAGATTTCGGCGTCTCTTCGATGTCATACTAAGCAGATTCTACTGTAATTGAAAATATTATAAATTATTAATGATGTTTATATAAGAATCGTGTAAAATTGTGTTGTGGTATCCATTTGTTTACATCATAAATACTCATCCTGTCTCTTCATCTCGATACTTAAGATTTGTTTAAAATATTTCTGTACCATTCACATGTTTTAGTATTGTGTCGAGCTCTGCAAGTGATAGTTGGTATTTTTTGTATTTTCAAAAATAAATGTAATTTAAATAAAATATTAAAGTATATGTAGTATATAAATAACTGTTTTGAAATTACACTGAAGATGAGGCATACCATGGTCTCGAAACGTCTGTAATTACCAAATAATGTGTGTGTTAAAAATCTGAGTGTTGTATTGTTCATATTTAACATTTAATATATCTTATCTTATACGAGGTCTGTTCAAAAAGTACCCGGAATTTTCGTTTTTTTCAAAAAAATATTTATTTATTCGTCTACATTAATGTGGTCCCCTTCAAAGTAGTCCCCCCCAGATATAATACACTTATGCCAGCGTTTTTTCCAATTTTCGAAGCACCCTTGATATTCACTTTTTGATATGTCCTTGAGCACTCTCAGCGATTTTCTTCAATCGAGGAAAACCGCCGTCCTTTCATGGGTCTCTTCAACTTTGGGAATAGGAAAAAGTCACACGGAGCCATATCTGGTGAATTTTTGCACTTTGCAACACTTTATTTCATTTTTTACGCAAAATTTAATACAAATTGTAAAAATCGCCGAGCTCAGAAAAACACGTCGAACCTTAGCCTACCACTAACTAACACGTCGAACTACCACAGACAAAGTAAACAGTGAATATAGCTGAAAATTTCATCATACTTTAGGGGCATGTATACCAACACAATAAAAAAAAAATTTCGACAATCAGACACTCCAGACCCGCGAAATTTAATTATTAGTAATTCCGGGTACTTTTTGAACACACCTCGTATATAAAAATGGAGCTCTCGATCAAATGATCTGGTAAAACTCGAAAACGGCTGAACCGATTTGGCCAGTCTTAGTCTTGAAAAATTCGTGCCAATCCAGAGAAGGTCGGAAAAGTGAGATAATATTTCAAAATCGCGTAGAAACTTTACATTTTTAATTTGAAATCTTTGTAGAAGCGTAATTTAAATAAAACAATGGACGGTGGCTAACACGCCAAATGTCAAACATTTTTGACAGATGATGTTCAATTATGTTTAATAGGATGTTTTATCTATATTATTTAATAGGATGTTCTGTTTGTAAAAACTCAAAATATCAACTTTTTTGAAATGTTAATATAAAAATGCACTTTATAATATAAGCTATAATCTTGAGTTGAAGACTTTGCTATCGGGAGATAAACGGTAATCTTTAAAAATCCATAATAAAAGTATTTTCTTCCATTGGTAGATTTTTAGCATTAGTTAAAAATGTAAGCATTTTGTAAAATCCTTTAATATCCTAACAATTTTTTGAAAGACAGCAAAAAAAGCACATTTCTACAATGCTGAAGTAGCTGGAAGTTTTACTGAACGTAGTCAAATAATTGTTTATTTGAAATGTGTTATTTGTTGTGATTATAATTGGTTTGCTTTTCATAATATAGTTTATATATGCTCAAAGTGAAATTGTGCCTCGCCCTGCTCTACATATGTACTTTTTATTAAATTTACTTCAATTCATCGAATGTTACTTGAAACTTTTCAAAAAGCAGGTCAAAGAAGAAATACTTAATTCATTTTCTATCTCTCCTCGCAGAAATTTGAAAATTTGGTATAAGCTCAGTAGTATTATTTACAATTATATACAAAATCCTGAATCAAAAAAGAATCTGAAAAACTTGAAACATAATCAATAAGTCGAAAGACCAAAAAAGACTTGAATTGGATTATACCATGTTTTCTATAGAAAGTGTTTAAAACTTCCAGTTTGATTGTATTGATAAAATATAGACAAACTAATGGGGTTTATAATACTTCATTGTATATAGCATTCAAACAACACATTCTTATACACTTAAAGTATTAATATTTTTGATTCTCTAGAAATTGTTTAGAATATACCTTACTTAGCAAAACAACGTTTGCCGGGTCAGCTAGTATGCATATATATATATATATATATATATATATATGTATATATATATATATATATATATATATATCTTTTAGACTTTTTTGTGACATTATCAAATTGTAACCAAGCATAGCCAAATGAGAAAACAGGCTTTTGCAACTTACTAAGTTCTTAATGCAAGCCGATTCTTTGGTCTGTTTTTAGAAGTAGTCAGAGCAGAATTTATAGCCAATCTTTTGACTTATTATGAATAATCATTCTTTTTTCATTTCCAACTTAAAATGAAAAGTTTTTTAAAAGCCTACTTTTCATTTATAGACCCAATATTTGAAATGAACTGATTTGAAACTGTATAAAGCAATAATGAATATATTTTGTTGATTATCATATTTCATGATCATTATTTTTGTCAGGCTGCACCGACATTTGAAATATCTACTAGCTTACAAGATGCAGTCAAAAATAGTCCAGAATCAAGAATACCTTATGTTGTGCTTAGAGGTACTGTAAAATGTATGGGAGCTCCATTAACAAGCAAAAATAGTCCAAATATTTCTGGGGCAGTGCAAAGAGTGACAATTAGCGAACATATTGTGACACGAGCTTCAGCAGGGTTTTGGTCTGAGCAGACAAGACCATTACATGTTTCACAAAATGTAGCTCCATTTTCATTGTTCAAAGATAATTTTGAAGTTGAAGTCGAAGATGCATTGTCTGCTGAACTTTTAGGTAAATAAATTAATTAAAGTTAATTATAATTGATCAAAAATTTTGTTGTATATATATATATATACACTTTACAATATATATATATATATACACTATAAAAACCCATTTTCATATCTAGCCCAATAATGTTCCTAAAACATTGTAAAATAGCGATTTATTAAGATTTTAATTGATATAATTTTGTTCAATACATGATTTTTGTTAAAATGTATATTTTTGAAGATATTAGCAAAAAATGATGAAAAACGCAAAAAAGAAACAAATTTTCAGTAGCTAGTAACTTGAAAAGTATTTGCTTTTTTGAAAAACATTATTAAACATTTTTCTCTTATAATTAGTTTTTTTATCGATATTGGGTATATTTTGAAAAAAGTAAAATTACACCACTGAAAAGAAACGTCATCCCCCAAATGTCATACTTCTGAACTTAAGAGTAAGATGAGCTTAATTCCAAAATTCTAAACGAAATGGAAAACAGTAAAAAAAGTTCAGACCGAAAGAGCTCCATTGAGTAAATATTCCGTACCCAAAGACACACATATGAATTTTTGACACAATGAAACTTCTAAATAATTTTTTTTGTGACTTAGTATAGTAAGGCAAAACGACTGCAAATTGAATATTTTTGAGCGCAATCACTTATGGCTTGTCTCCTTTGCACGAATTCGTACGGCGAATATGTTCGCAAAATGCGCAAACAAAATTATTGCAAGCAAAAGCAAACCACGCGCACGTTGAGAACACGATTCGCCGTGGGCGTCAGACGCATGTTATATTATTTGCTTCTTATATTAATTTAATTTTTAGCACATCTCAGCTTCTTTTTGGCAATAATAATGTAGTCCTTACATTTTTCTTATTCATAATCATAAATATATTATATTTTAATATTGTCTTATTGTTAGCCTATAAGTGAATGGAAATGTTTGGCAAATGACAGTCGTCTTTTGTTTTTAATGTCAAACTATGCCTTAAATATTTTCAAGGGCAAACAATGATAAGCGGTTTTTTGTAATTTTTTCCATTTATTTCTACAATCTAACTATATTTCTATGAATCAAAACATTCTAAAAAATTTCCCGAACAAACTTCAGGAAGATTCATGAAAATCCGAATAAAAGTTCAGGAGGATTAATGAAACTTACATTGTTACAGAAGAATTTTATATATAAGATATATATATATATATATATATATATATATATATATATATAACCAGTCATGTCAAACAGCCGGCCCCTGGCCTGAATCAATACGGCCCGTGATCTCAATGCGTCACATAAAAAGAATCTAGTCTAACAATAAGTCTCATTTTGATTTGTTTTAAATATTTGTTCTCTCAACTATGTTTGAGCGATTTATGTACAGTAAAATATTCATATTTGCATTAGATATACGAATTTAGTTATTTTAGGGGACATTTTAGTCTAGAGACATGAGTTTCGTGTGGTTCATAAAAAAGATCATAAAAATGGCAAACGATATTTTTACTATCATTTTTTTTATATTACATAGTTCATACCAAAAACAAGTCTATAAATACCAGAAGTCTGTAAGTAAATCGGTTTCGCACGGTTCTCTAATGTCGGCGCCATAACAGACTCTAGCTAGCATAGAAACGCAGAGACAACTAGCTGTAAGTGGAATTCTGTCTTAAGGCAATTAGGGCATCGTGCCTTAAGGCAAATTGCTGAAACTTCCCGTACCAAAAATTATTATTTTTTTAAAAACGATCAACATTTTTGAAAAAAAATTAATTAAAAAAAAATAGATTTGAGAAACTACAAATTTGACAAAAAATTACTTTTTTTTTGAAAAAAAAAATTATATGAAAAAAAAAATTTTTTTTTGAAAAAAAATTTTTTTTTGGATACAAAAAATTTTTTTGAAAAAAATGTTTTCTTCATTTTGGCATATTTTGGAAATTCTGAACTTTTTTTTCAAAGCAATCGCACTGCTTGAACTGCATAGAGACGAAATGTCAAAGCGCGCATGTGCCGCGCCGCCGTCTAACGCATAAGCATTGGTACGGAACCCATAAAAATGTAAAAAAATATACTTATTGTTAAAATCTCTATAAAATATCTGATAATTTGATGTGCATATGTCTAATGATAATTTTTAACCGCCGAATGGCATTATTTTTTACTTTTATTATTAGATCTCCGAAACCGCTAGACCTGCCACCATGTAAATTTTATCAATTATACATCTTGTCAATACAAGTAAAATGTTTTTTGAATTATTCAAATCGGACGCTCCGTTCTCTTAAAAACGGAGGTACCGTTCTTGGCACTTTTTGCCCCGTATCTTCGGAACGGCTAGACCTGCCTTTGCCAAAAACTAATCAGCACGTCTCCTTATCAATACGAATCGAATGTTATTTGAATTATTCAAATCGGTTGATCCGTGTTCCCGAAATCGTCGACGAAAATTTGTATCCGCACATACATACACACACATACATACATACATACATACATACATACATACATACATACATACATACATACATACATACACACACACACACACACACACATACATCCATTTTTTCTAAGGTATGCCAAAATGTTCAGAAGGTTTTGAAACGTCGAGAAATGCAAAAATTTTCATTTTCGATTTTTTTGCGATTACTATAACTTACCCTACGGGAAGTTAAAAAGTTAAAAAAGATTAAATTTAAAATGTATTATAGATTTATATAAATTAAACAAGTAAAAAATTGATATATACCGCACCAGGAAAAACATTCACAAAAATTTATATATTATTAAATATATAAATATTATTATATATTTTGGCTATAATCTTAACCTTCAAATATAATATAAATAACATAAAATATTTTTTGAGTAATTCCTTACTCTAATAATTACTTATATTACCAAAACTAAATTACCACTTTATCATCTTTTACCCCATCTTTGAAACGTCTGGAAATGCCTTGGCCAAAATCTAATCAGCACGTCTACTTTTCAATGAGATCGAATGTTTTTTGAATCGGTTAATCTCTGCTTTCGAAATCCCCGACAAAAAATTGCCTTTCCACATTCATACACACACACAAACACACACACAAAGGGTATGGGCGTGTTTCCATACAGAATCGGCCCTACCCTGGTATTTAAATAATTTTGATGCCATTTTATAGATGTTTTTGAGAAAATCGGATATACCAAATTTCAAATCTGTAGCTCATCATTTGGCCGAGATATAATTGAAAATATCAATCATATATTTACATGCATACAGAAAAATTGTATCCAAACATATAGACAAACACACACATACATCTGTTTTTTCTGAGGTATGCCAAAATGTTCAGGAACCTTTGAAATGTAAGGATATGCAAAAATTTTCATTTTCGATTTTTTGCGATTACTATAACTTACCCTACGGGAAGTTAATAAATATATTGTTATAATTATTATTGCATTAAATTAATTAAAATGAATGCTAGTAGCTATTTTTTCTTATGTGTTAAAAAAGAGAAAAGAAAAATGTTACTATGTCAAGGTAAATACTTAACTATATTTGCAGATATGGATATAATTTGGGACAATTATGAACCTAGTCAACTTGGAATGATAGATCATATTTGGGGTTTCTTTTCTGGAGTTCGACAGAAAGGACTCCAAAGCACTGAGGAAATGCTACGAGAGGGTGCCCTAATAACAGGTATTTTATTTTGGGTAACTTATATCATATCACAAATGATTAAGTTTTATAAACTTGATAAAACTTAAGCCTTAGTTAAGGAAATGACTTAGCCATTAAAAAGTTTGTTTAAATATTTGTTTTGTTAAGACAATTTGGGTAAAATCACTTGTTGTAGAATCGCAATATTAGATGGACAACTAAGTGGTCAATCAATATTTAGGTGTTTGACGTAATTCTAATGAAAAATATTTTGTTATTGGGTAGGAGGTAACTCAGCTATCAATCAGTAAAAAAAAGTTTCTTGATTGGTTGCGCAGCTTTTACTGAAAGATGTAAAACCAAAACAAATATTTGCAATATTTTGCTTTTATTATTGCAAAGAGAAAAAAGTATTTTGAGTCTAAAAGAAGTTATGTGCTGATTATGGTGACGAATTCGTAAAACAAGAGCGGTGTCAAAATTGTTTTGCCAAATTTCGTTCTAATTATTTTTCACCCAAAGATGGTAAATGCTTTGAACCTTTATTTCAAATTGATGACGACCTAATCAAAACAATAATTGACTCTGATCTTTACAATAAAACTCGGGATTTGCAGAGAATCTTCATTTATCACCTAAAACAATTTGGCTATGTTTAGAAACTTGATACAAGAGTTCCTTATGAACTGAAAACGTATTTAATGCAATGCATTTGAAGCTTTTTTTTAAAAAAAATCTGCATTTACTTAGTTGCTCACATGATATATCAGTAGGGTGCGGTGGACAGACGTGGGTCACAGGTTGAATGGGGTTCCCAAATAATAATACTAGTGACATGTATGTCGAATCCCGCACATATTTATTATATTTTGATACTTGCTCAATTTTGAAAGGCATTTGGAGGTTATAAACCAACTTTCGTACAGAGAAACGCGCTAAAAATTTCGCCGAGAAAGTTTTTACCCTCGAACGCTCTTACGTAATTTGTCATCGAATTATCATGAGACAAAATCAAGTAAATATGCAATATATCATATAGACATATACTCTTCAAAATGCAAAGTGATTTTTATCGATTGTTTACATTGTGTTTTTGTGGGATGCATATACTCGTAGATCGTCTTTTCAACGCATCATTACATCCCCTGAAAACAGAGAGGTTGCGGCAGAAACAGCACAGCGTCAAAAATCGCAAGTATCAGCGAAAGACTAATTCTAAAAAAGACTTCTAAGAAGACCAATACTTCATAAACAGTTGTGAAAAATAGAAAAAAAGAAAGTTTTCGGTTTCTTCAAATGGAGACATCCATTTTTGCATGATTTGCTATAAATTAATGCCGGCAAAGCTGATAAGAAAAAGCTCCATCGAGTGCGATAACGGCGACAAACCCTTCCATTTGAAGTGCGTCGATATGACCAACTACACCCACTTGATGTACATCAATTGCGCCTAAAATGTGTGCTTAAATGTTTTTCTCAACAATCTTATCATTCCGACTTTATTACTTCTTTTCAGACATTAAAATAGCATTATTACGAAAGTCATTGTTTTTTTTAATTTCTATAGTTCATTTTGTTTTACCAATTATGAATTTTGTAAATTTGACAACGGATTCGTAATTAGCGCATTTGAAAATTTTCAGGGTAAGAATTTGTAGCATATAGCAGGCTTTTTTCAGACAAAAATTTGGGTGGTCCACATCTTCCTCCACACGGTAAATGCACTTTTTTGCAATTCAAAAAGATAAATATTTCCAAAGATAATTGCAAGCATCTGCTATGATAACAAGTTGCATTTTGGAATACTCTTGCAACTAAAAAAATAAGAAAATATTTTCATTTTTAACCATTTTACAACCAAAAATAAAAACTATGATCGATGGAAAGGTCAATACGATTAGTATATTTTTTTTATAAAAATTGTTAAAAAAATAAATCGTTAAACAAAATAAATGACATTTGGCGGTCAAATATAATTTTTATACTAATCCATATCTAATTATCGAATATTTCGTTTCGTATCAAAATTTATAATGTTTAGCCTTTATACAGCTATCATAGCAGCTCTCATTTTAGTGCCAGTTTTTTGTGCAAAAAATATTTTGAGGTTTTTTTAGAATTTCAAAAAAAATCCCCAATAATTGTTTTGCGAAATTCTTCAGAATTTTAAATTTATTAAAAATCTTGAAAAATTTATTTCAAATTATTGATTATTTTTATTCCTTCGAATGTTACAGGAATTTGCCTGAAGACATAATACCATGCACTAGTGCGCTAGTTACAATTTATTCAGAGAATGAATAATTTTAACTAAAATTAACATTTTTTTAACTAAAATAGTAACGCGGTCATAGTGGAAACTTGATTATTGTTTATTATATTTATTTTTATTCCATATATTAATACTTTCGGATCTTTTCCAAAATAATCTAATTAATATGTTAAACAGTCAAACAAACTATAGTTGAAAATATATCATAATGTATTAAAAGTAAAAATATTTTACAGTATATTCAAGTGTTATATATAAATACATTACTTATCATTTCAATATGAATATAATTTATCCACTAAATATAATAAAAGGATTTGTCAAAATAATTAAACTATATCTTAATTAATTTTATTTAAATTATTGTTTCGGTTGACAACTCTTTTTCTAACTTTATTTTCATATTTGTATTATCATCATTTGTTCTGATAATTATTTACATACTAGATTTTAATGTATATAAAAGTAAGTTAAGTAAAGTAAAGTATATAAAGCCTTGGTTAAAGCCAATGATCAACCAAGATCATTATATTATTTATATTATCAATGATTATCTCATTCTATATGAATAAATAAAATTCATTAATGTTGCCTACAACATTTTAGCTTTTAATTAATGTGAACATTTTAAAATGTTCATAAAATTATCTTATAAAAATATATATAAAATTATTGTTATAAGCATTTTTAGATTATAATTTTTCATCGTTTTTTTAATTTAAAAATTACATTGAAAGTTTTAGAATTTTTAAGAATTTTAAGGAATACGTTAATATTTAAATTTTTGCTTATTTTTACTCTTTATAAATATACTTTATAATAAAATATTCCACTATCATGTAATGTACTGATATGGTTCCAAGAGAATTTTCATTATTAAAGTCTTTCATGATCTTCCAAAATAATGCTGAAATTCTAAAAAATGTATCATTTTCCAACATATTATCACGTCTTTATTCTTGATGATCCGACAGTGGGCAAGAAACTCAAATTGGACACTGAATGATCTGAAATGAAATATACATTCACTTCTACTAGGTATTGGAGAGTTATCAACATGTGATGGGAGTTTGAAACTGCAATTACCAAAATCTGGACAACCTCTGTTTCTAACAACAATGACGAAAAGTGGACTAGTTTTTAAACTGACTGCTGGGCAAAATAATATCAGGTTATTATTCAAATACGAATACTGTTTTGATTGTACTTTTTTATCATATTTTTATTTTGGCTGAGATACTTTAAGTCGTGTGATAACTTGTATTATTATATTCATTAATCATTAACTCCTCCGCTACATGGTTCACCCATAGGCGACATTTGCTTGACGATCTGTGTGTACGTGTGTCGCCTATAGACGATATAAAGAAATAAATTATTGGGAATTCTAATTTGTTATTGATTAGGCTCTGTAGAAACGCAATTGTTAATTTTTAAATATATTTTTAATGATAATGATTAGAGAATTTTAAAATATAATGTGTAAAAACACTAATGTCAAACCCCTGCAGAAGTGTCACTTCCGCCCAGCGTAAAACATCGTAGCGAAAGGGTTAATTGATTATGCATGTACATAACCACAGCATATATATATATATATATATATATATATATATATATATACAGTAGAATCCGCTTAGTATGGCATTCAAGGGACGGCGAAAAATGGTCATACTAAGCGGTCGTCATACTAAGCGTACTGAAAAAAAAAAAAAGAACAATTTTTGGCGAATATGTTATTAATTTCAGTAATTTAATACAAAAATAAAGGTAAAAAATGACACATACTAACAAATTGACAAATTTAATTAAAAATATGACATAACAATGCACTTTTTAATGTAAGAAATCTGTAATTTTCGTTTGAATTTTTTTCTTCATCTTATTGCAAAAACAGTCTCTGACACTGTTGTGTACAAAAGACATAGCATTGGTTACATTTTCGTTTTCAATATTGCTAGAGACAAATTTTGATAGTAATTCCGCAGCTTTCAAAGCCTCTTCTGCGGTAGGTAGTTTGTCATCGACTTCTTCCTCTTCATCGCTTCCAAATAGTTCATTGTCATTAATATTTTGTATTATTTTTTCATCAGTAAGTTCTTCACATGTGATAAGAGTATTATCGATATCAACATACTCTTCCCACATTTCCGGTGTTGTTGCTAAATCTATATTTCGGTTTCTTAACAACAAAGATAAAGGAACATCTTCTTCAACAAATTCATTTTCTGAAATTTGAAATGGTGAATCGTCGTGGCTTTTATTTAATCCTGAATGCCTAAAACAATTATGAATGGTATTTTGTTGCAATTTGTTCCAGGCATCATTGACCATTAAAATTGCGTCTAGCACCGTTATTTTTGAAGAAAGATCTTCATTATCATCAACACATTGAATCATTTTTAAAACAAGTTTTCAGTGAACGAATTATTCCCTGGTCCATTGGTTGTAGTATTGAAGTAGTATTCGGTGGAAAAAAAGCAAGTGTTATTGAATTTAAATCAGCAATATTTGGATGTGCCGGGCAGTTATCAACCAGTAATAAAATTTTTCTATTCTTCTTCACCAAATCACGATCCCAATCTCGAATCCATTTTTCAAAAATTTCCGACGTCATCCAAGCCTTACGATTGTTAGCATAATCGACAGGTAATGATTTAATACTTTTGAAACATCTTGGTTTTTGGGACTTGCCAATAATGAGCAATTTCTTTTTCTCTGTGCCACTCATATTAGCAGCTACCATAAGCGTGATTCTGTCTTTTGATAATTTTCCTCCACTGCAATTCTCACCTTTAAATTTTAAAGTTCTTTCCGGCATTAATTTATAAAACAGTCCCGTTTCATCAGCATTAAATATATCGTCATCAGAAAATTGTTTACGTAGATTTGGCCATACAGATGTTAACCAGTTTGTTGTTGAATTTTCATCACCAGACAAAGATTCTCCGACAATTTTTCCTGCCACAATATTATGTCGAACTTTGAAACGACTGATCCAGCTTGCAGTACAATTGAAATCGACGTTATTAAAACGTGCAGCAAAAAAATTTGCCTTCTCCTGTAGCATTGGCCCACTGACGGGTATTCCTTTGCCTCTTGTTATTTTGAACCACTGAATTAAGGCTTGATCAATATTTTCTTGTCGTGATTTTCGAAGCCTCTTCGGTTTCAAAACATTTGAATTGAACGATTGCTCAACGATGTTCTTGTTTTTAAAAATCATTGAGATGGTCGAATGACCGACCCCAAGCTCCTTTGCCAGAGATGAGTTTGATTCTCCATTTTCTAATCTACGTATTATTCTACATTTTTCCTCGATCGTAAATGCTTTACGGTGACGCGATGCCATTTTTATCACAAAAGCGCACTATATTGAACTGATTGAAAACTCACTGTACACTAGTAAAACTTACAGGGTAAAAAAAATTACTGGGTAAAAATAGTAAAAAATATAGAAGTTTACTAATTCAGTAAATTATAGCAGATGTTATCGCTTTCAAATTTCGAACACCAAGAATGAGCCTACTTATTTATTGCACGAGGTCGTCCATGCCGGAAGTTGCCAAAGTTTCCATAGCGCGAATCTCGTACAACATAGAGACCTGAAGGTATGTAGCGACCTGACACACAAGGGTAGTTCACAGTGGTGCCATACCATAACAATGTGCAATGAAAAACATGAACTCTATGTTATCGGAGGTGTAAAATCATGTCGGTCATTATACTTGGACCAAATTTTTTTTCAAAAATGGGTCATTATAAGCGAAATGTCAATGTAAGCGAGGTCAACATATCCGGCTAGACAGCTGTTTTTTTAAGAAATTTTATATGGAAACCAAACTGCCTTTAAAATTACGTCATAATAAGCGGTTGTCAATATATCCGGCGTCATACTAATCGGATTCTACTGTATATATATATATATATATATATATGATTTAGTAGTTAATTTTGATGTTGAAATATATGAGTGAGTTCTTGAGGGCGATACATCAAACAAAGAAAAGCCAAAGATTTATAAAATAATTTTTATTTCCAAACGTTTCGACATTCAATTTAATGTCATCATCAGTGGATATTACGTTGGATAGTTACATATAGAGAAGTGTACACAGCACTAGAGATTTGGCACTAACATTTATACAACTAACTGGATACATGCCTCGGTACTAGCAAAGTACAGAAGTCGTGGCAGAAATTACATAATTCTACTTACATTTTTGTTCAATAAAACTATCATTTTTCTGTTTACATCATACAAAAAAATTATATAAAAAAATGCATAGTGCTGACAAGTTAGTTGTATAAATGTTAGTGCCAAATCTCTAGTGCTGTGTACACTTCTCTATATGTAACTATCCAACGTAATATCCACTGATGATGACATTAAATTGAATGTCGAAACGTTTGGAAATAAAAAATTATTTTATAAATCTTTGGCTTTTCTTTGTTTGATGTATCGCCCTCAAGAACTCACTCATATATATATATATATATATATATATAATATAACAAATGTATTCTGAGTGGATAATAGATATTAATTTGGAAATATGAACAAACAACACTCTTTTTTGCACTAATTTAATAAATAATAATTTTCACAAACGTTTCGAGACTAGGTTTGTCTCATCATCAGTGTGTTATAATTTAAAATTTAAAATATGGAAACCTAAATTAGCATTTTGTGTTATCTATTACAAGTCGCTCGATATACTGTCCTCTGCCACACCAACGGTCGTCGGTATCCGCATTCTCCAACCACTTGAAAACCACTTATGTGATGTTTTTGTACTTTGGGTCCACTTTACAATATTGATGAAATGTACAAGAAATCATGGTTTTCTTCATTTATTGGTTTTTATTATCAATTTTTATGAAAAAGTAATCACTGTTTTTTCACAATGTTCACAAATAAAACCGCAAATATTTATTTATTTATTTCATTTTTCGAAATAACCGGCTTTTGCTCGTATAACAGCAGCGCATATTCTGGGCAGCGCACATCCTTTCAATCAACTTATGCAGTAATTTCATTGTTATTTTAATCCCGCGATTCTGTAGGAACGTGCAAAGCTGTTTTGTATTATTCGGTTGCAATTTTCTCACTTATCGGTCCAACTCGTCCCACAGCAACTCATCCGAGGAGGATAATCCATATATTTGAGTTTATTCTGTTTCTCTTTTGTTGAGTTGTAATCCCGGCAAAATTTTGAAATGTGCTTACAATCATTATCTTGCTGCACAACGAATCTACGAATTGTATATTGGACAGCACAATTCTTTTCCAACACGGAAAAGCGTGCCGTTGAAGAATGCTTTTTTGTTCATGATACTTTCAATTTTCGTCACCAACAATGTTTCCATCAAAACTTCCCCGGACTATATTTTATTCCCAATAGTATATTGAAAAACAATCCAACTATAAAGATTACATTCAACAAACATGATTTTAAATATTATTATGATTTGACATTTTTATTAAATTTTTACATATATTTTGTGACATAACAGGATCTGAATCTATTTTTCAGAATGATCTGTGTATTCTTAGGAGTTATAGGTGTTGTGTTATGTAGCTTACTAGCTAGAAAATTTTTGGAGAAAAAAGAAAAAGAACGTAAGGATTTGAGGCTTAAAGATCGCTTAGAAAAAACTAGGCGAGAACGAAGAGTAGCTGCGAGAGATAAAAATTTATCTGGAGATCAATTATGTATAGTTTGTGTACACAATCCTAAAGAGGTAATATATATACCTATATATTTATATGTAAAAAACACACATACACACACATACACACACATATATATATATATATATATATATATATATATACAGGGTGGCTGATAAGTAATGCAAGAAAGCTATATTTCTTTAATTTTCTTTTTAAATGTTATTGTTCAAAAGCAAAAATGTCGAAAATAACATCAAATTATAGAATCAGTTTAGATTTGTTCTAATATGCCACGTTTCGCACGAATTATGGTCTTCAAACGGCCGAAAAAACCAAAACACGCTGCACGAAGGTGGATCTGGGGTATTTTGGCCCATTCCAGGCGATGCGCCTTCTTATGATGATCGACACTTTGGTATTTTTTAGTGCGAGTCTTACTCTCCAAAATGCACCAGGTACAAAAGTCCAACGAATTTAGATCCAGAAATTTTGGTGGCCATTGTGCGATGGAAATGAAGCGAGAAACTTCTTTTTTAAGCCATTTTCGGTGGGCGCGTGCTGAGTTTGATGGTGCTGAGTCCTGGTGGAATGTCTATAGTTTGCAGCCGAAAAGTTTGTCTAACCAGGGTTACAATACCGCCTTTAAGACTTTCCCGATAAATTCGGTCATTATTTTGATCCCACAGTCGATGAATACGAGCGGAATGTCAATATCGGCCGTTACGGTGGTTTACACCATTACCGTCGGCGACGCTTGAGTTCTGGTGGCCAATTGAAGGTGTAAATTTTCTGCTGACCTCTTTGGCAAGTAAACCATATCTTTTTATTTTTTTACAAGCTGCCATTTTGGAATGACTTCTGATCGGAGAAAACCAAATTCGGTAACTAGTCACTTTCGTGCAAGCGAAGCAACTCCTTGGCTCTTTCCTATCTAACTTTTTTCTGTGCATCGATAAGCTCTTGCACTTTTTGGAACTTCAATGGCTCTAGTCCAAGCTCATTTTTCAATATGAATTGCACCGATTCTCGCGATATGCTCAACCCACGAGCCATTTTTTTACCACTGCGAAACGAATTTTGTTAAATTTTTGCTTTCACTTTTCGGATAATTTCTGGTGTTGTTAGTGTTTTTGTTCGTCTACTTTTTGGACGCGGTGCGACACAGAGAGTATCACGGTTACGAGATATGGTACGAGAAACAAAATATTTATTCGCATTTAAATGCTGGAGGGCTCTAACGATAGCCACTTGTGTTTTTCCAGCCTAATATAAAGCAATCACACTATCACGCTTGACTTCCATCACGAATAACGTTTTTTTCTGAATGCAATTGATCAAAATGCTTGTGTACGCTTCTAAAAAACTTAATGAACAATTACTGGAATAAATCTGTCAGCTTTCTGATGAGCGATTTAGAAATGATAGCAGTCTGAAGTTGGTTGGAATAATAATATATATAATAACTTATATATATATATACTAGATGACCCGACAGACGTTGTCCTGTACCCACCTCTACGTTTTTTTAATATCAGTTAAAAATAATCATTATTGTTCTTCGAGTAACTATTTACACCAATATATGAGTGATGTTAAATGTAGTACTGTTTCAAATAAAATGATTATTCTCAATTCCCACAGTTAACACTTCAATTATCCCTTTAACAAATATTAAAATATGTTCAATAAAATTATATATTAAAAATTATACACTGCGATTTATAGAACAAATTTATTTCCAATAGCTCAATTTATTTTATTGAATTTAAGGATTATGCAATATTTTTAGACATACCTGTAGATGTGGATGTTTAAATGAATGATTTTTTGTTTATTCACGGCTAAAACATTGATTTTCCAAATTTATCACCATGTATTCATTGTCATAGCATAGATACACGTGTTGAAAATTGAAATCTTTTAAAAAGTATAACAAATTCAGAAAGAATTAATATTTAGCATGCGGTCAAGGTACAATTTCACCTTCGATTTTTCTACCCAAAATAATTGCTTCAATAATTTTTATAATTTCGTACCATATTTCAACTGGCTTTTAGTATTTTAATATCTAAATTGCATTTTCACACTAATAATTCAATATACATTATTACTTAAGTTCATATTTGAAGTAAATTAATTTGTCAAATTTTGTTCACATGTGCTCTATTCAACCTACTATCAACAAAATTATTGCAGTAAATGAAGAGGAAAAAAGCGTATGCCCAACTAATCTTAATCTAAAGTTTAAAAGTGAAAACAATTTGCATTTTGTCACCACCCCCCGCATTAATTGGATTATAACTCTTTTAATTCTGATTTTATCATAACTTGTAATACACTATTTTAAAGGTGATTAAATGAGCTACAACTTTCTCTATTATAAATTTTACCGTAACTTCTTTTATTTTGAAACGGCGAAGGGTTAAAGGGCTCGAAAGACACTCCGGTTGGACAGCCGCGCACTCTTTAAACAATTAGAACTCTATAAATATTTGTGTAACAAAAATGATAAAAAGCAATATTTAGTCTGAAAAATACCTTGAATTTTCATATATATACTTTTATACATATTCTTTCAGATATATTATAATGAGAAATTTTTTTTTTAAATGGATTTTTTTATGAAATCATGAGTTTTTTGAAAATCGTTTGTACTAATGTTATGGTATTTTCTAGAATTCATCAAGATCTCTCCAACCAAGTTAATTCTAGATGGAAAACGATTATTTTTAATTTTGGTGGAAATGGCACTCATAAACTATTTGATTTAAATGAGAAAAAAACATTGTATGCGTCTTTCAATTGCATGATCGCTCACTCATTTTACACGCAGAAGTACTTCTTCTAAAGCTTATTTGGAGAAATATAAAAACCCATTTTCGTAATTAACTTAATATTGTTCCTAGAACACTGTAAAATAGCGATTTATTGGGATTTTTATTGATATAATTTTGTTCATTACATAATTTTTGTTAAAATGTATATTTTTGAAGATATTAGCAAAAAACGATGAAAAACGCAAAGCCAGTAACTTGAAAAGTATTTGCTTTTTTGAAAAACATTATTAAACATTTTTCTCATATAATTAGTTTTTTATCCACACCCACCGTTATTACACCACTGAAAAGAAATGGCATCCCCCCGGGTAGTGCAAAGGAGTCTAAATTGTTTTCACTTTTGAACTTGGCTTAACCGTTAAAGCCTAAAAATATGACAATTCTGAAAATTTTGTTCTTTTATTTGTGGCTAAAAACTTTTTTTTAAGTTTGAGTAGAGCAATTCACTCTTTCAACAAGAAGTTGCAATGATCTAAATTAATATATACATTGATATAATAATGTAAATTAATATATTCATTAGACAATAGATAACACAGACTAATATGATTCCAAATTTTTTCGAACCGATATGATTCTAAGTATCAAAACGCTTGCTTCCATCTAGTATATTTGTCATTTTACATTTATACAGAAAAAAAACATTTTTTCTGCTTCGTAATATATATTACGTTCACTTCGAACCGTCCCGCCCCAAAGGATTAAGCGTTACCATTCTATATACAATGATCACAAATAAATTGATATTATAAAAGTATGTCCTTTAATGACCTCAAAATTTTATCAAACCAATTGCATAACATACACAATGAAATCAAGTTTACAGTCGGTACAGTAGATTGTTTTGAAATCGGTGCCGTCCCGTGAGAGTTAAAAATAACAATACTTATTTTTAAAAATTATATTCAGTTATTGTAAGCGCCTCGAAACCAAAAAAAAAATGCATTTTTTGTAATATTGAAAATGTGGCAGTTTATCTCGTCATCGCCCGATTTGATATGATGGCTGGTTACCCCCTTTGTGCTTTCTACTTTAAATTTATATCGTTAAAAAAATCCAACTTACTTGTTTTTGGGTAGTCGTGCTTGACTTTTCACCTTTTAGATTTAATACTCTAAATATTCCCTTCAATGATGCTACCCTTATTTGTAACTAACGAGTTTTTCTACGTCTTATTGTATATATTTATTTTTCAGATTATTTTACTTCCCTGTGGACATGTTTGCTTATGCGAAGATTGTTCTACACAAATCACCGATGCTTGCCCTGTGTGTCGTGAGGCAATTGAACAAAAAGCAGCTGCATATATATCGTAATATATATATATATATATATATATATATATATATATATATATATATATATATTTGTTAATATAGTGAGTTCATCAAAATTATATTTTAATGATGTTATTTAAATATAAAAATTTGAAAGGATATTTCATTTTTAAATTTTAAAGATAACTTATATAAATTTATTTCAGATTTTTGGCAAATGTTTTAATAAAGTTTCGACCTTTCGTTCAGAAAAGTTTGCAATAATGCTTCTTCAAATGATAAGAAGTTGACGTGAACGTTTTCTGAAGGTTTTTGAGAATCTCAACCGAAAACAACGGGCTTAGTAATGATTCAGTATGATCTGTAATAGCCTCAAAACATTATCATCTTTCGATTCCCTCCTATTCTTTTTTTTAATTTGACATAGAATAACACAATAATGCAGTGCTGATTGGATCATTGTGTACTGAATGTCGCTATCTTACACTGACATTAACAATGAACAGAAAAGTAACAGATATTACAAATTTTTCTACAAAACTAGCTACAAAACTGTAAAAAATGATACATATGCGAAGAAAATTAAACATTAGCTATGTATTTTATAATTAAGAATTTGTTTTTCTGCTATTACTTAAGTAATAGTATTAGGCAATATTAGTTTATTAAGGACCTTCAGTTAATAATTGTTATGTACTCTGTAATCTGAGATTCCTGAACCTGTGGTTGTATTGAAATTTGACTCTTACGTTGCTTGATCCAAAATTTAGTCAGGCGCTAATTATTTTTTTAACTTCCCGTAGGGTAAGTTATTGTAATGGGCCGAAAATCTGAATTGAAAATTTTTACATTTCTCGACGTTTTGAAGGTTTCTGAACGTTATGGCATACCTCAGAAAAAATGAATGTGTGTGTGTGTGTGTGTATGTATGTATGTATGGATACAAATTTCCAGTCACGTTTTAGGGCGCACGGATCAACCGTTTTGAATGATTTAAAAAACATTCGATTCCTATTGATAGGGAAAAGAGCTGATTAGTTTTTGGCAAAGGCAGGTCCAGCCGTTTCGGAGATTTGGAGCAAAGAGTGCAGAAAATAGAAATCGAATTTTTGAGAGAACGGAGTATCCGATTTGAATGATCTAAAAAACATTCAATTAGTAATGATTGGGAGAAGTGTTTATTAGTTTTTAGCAAAGGCAGGCCCATCAATTTCGAAGATACGAATCTAAATATGTAAAAAATGGCAGTTTTTGAGAGAACTAAGCGTCCGATTTGAATGATTCAAAGAACTTTCTGCTTGTTTTAACAAAATAATTGATTTTGGAAAAAAAATTTTGTTCTTTTTTTTTTTTTTTCGTTTTTTGTATATCGAAAATATTTCAGATTTTATTTTTAATTCTGACTATAGTTCTAATATACTTTAAACAAATAATTTCAACTTTGCAATTAAGTTTATATAATACTTATAAATATTAGACAATGTTACAATATTTATAATAATCTACTTGAAGACCTTCAGTATTCCTCGAACATTTTGTTACGGTACGGGAAGTTCCAGCAATTTGCCTTAAGGCACGATGCCACCCACCCCACTAGTTTAATATAATAAGTATTGAATTAAAAAGCAGAAATAATGTTATTGGTACCGCTATCACTGGAGACTCACTCCTGGAGAATTTCTCCATGCTCAAAATCGCAAAAAATTGAAAATGGTTTATTTTATATATTTACGGCTTACCTTAAAAATGTATATATACATTACACCGAAAGAGTTAATTCTGCCTTCACTAAATCAGTACGCCTCGGCGTTAATAGAGAATTCAAATATAAGCTCTCGAAATTGGCGACAAAATTTATTTTCCACATATGCATGTGGAAACATACGTACTACAACTATATATAGTAAAAAATTATTCAAAATCGAAATTTGTTTGAACAATCTAATTAATTACAGGCATTGATGAATACCATTTTTTTAAACAAATATTGATAAGACAAAATTTGAATTTATTAATAATAACCGATGTAAAATTTTATAAAATTACTAGCAAACCCGACAAACTCCGTTTCGCCGCCAGATGGTTTCGTGGGAGAGATGAATTTTTTGTATGTTTTATAATTGAAAAGGAAAAATTTGATTTTATTGCACAACAGTAATGAATTTATTTCGATTACAAAAATGAAGTGTTTTTTAGTTGAACTTCTCTAAGTAAATAAAAGTGAATCCGCAAATTATCCGTTTCATGGAAGTGGTCTTTGGTAAACCACATTTTTTGTTTCTTGGTCTGACGTTAACACAAACAAAGCGGATGGTTTTCCAACTCGTGAACAGGCAACGTACGGAATAAATTTCAAATAGATTATATAGATAATCATTGTTTTTCTATGTAATCTATTTGAAATTTATTCCGCAGACACTAAGCGATTGGCCTTGCGACTTGTTAATTGTCATTGCGAACGCAAGGCGAACTGGAAATTGCAATCGTTTGAAGTCAAACCAAATCGCCAGCAATTTTTGATTGAATGGTGAAATTCAGTGCGTGTACATCATTTTACTTTGCGGCAAGAATTGTTCGTTGACTTAACCAAGCATAATTCTGATAATTCTCACTAATGTCATTACTCGAATTTTTAATTACGGTGCGTGAAGTTCCAGCAATTTGCATTAAGGCAAGATGCCACCACTAATTTTCTTAGCTATAAACCTTGCGGAGCTCGAGACCTTTCCAACGAATGCAAAATTGTCGAAATCGGTTCGTGCGTTCTGGAGTTATTTCGTCAGGAACGAAAACCCGACTTATTTTTATATATATATAGAAGATATTTTGAAACATTGAAAAATATACCATAAAGTCTAAATATAAATAATTTTATGAAATCCAAACAAGTTATAATAAAAATTATTAACTTTCCGTAGCAAAAGTCATGATAATATCTCAAAAAAATCGAAAATAATTTTTTTTATATATCTTTACGTTTCAAAGGTTTCTGAAAATTTTGGCATACCCATAGATAAACAAGTATAAATTAGAAAAAATGGATGTATGTGTGTATATGTGTGTGTGTGCGGATACAAATTTTGGTCGACGATTTCGAGAACAAGGTTCAACCGATTTCAATCATTTAAAAAACATTCGATTTCTATTGATAAGGAGACGTGCTGATTAGTTTTTGGCAGAGGCAGGTTTAGCCGTTTTGAAGATACGAGGCAAAAAGTGCTAAAAATGGTAACTCTTTTTTTAAGAGAACGAGGCGTCTGATTTTAATAATATAAAAAGCATTTTACTTGTATATTAAATGAGGTGACTACCTTATGAAATTTTTGAGAAGGCAGTTCTAGCCGTTTCGGAGATCTAGTAAAAAGGTGAAAAAATGCCATTTGGCGGTCAAAAATAATCATTAGACATATGCACATCAAATTAGCAGATATTTTATAGAGATTTTAATGATGTGTATCAATATTGTTCACATTACAATGGGTTCCGTAACATTGTTTGTCCATAAGACGGCGACGCGGCGATTACGCGCTTTGATATTTCGTTTCTATGAAGCTGAAGCATTGCGATTGCTTTGTAAAAAAGTTCAAAATTTCCAAAATATTTCAAAATAAAAAAAATCCAATTTTTTTCCCGAAAAAGTCAATTCTTTTAAAAAACTTGAAATTTTTCAAAAATCTTTTTTTTAAGTTTAAGTTTTATTTAAAAAAATATTTTGGGTACGGAAAGTATTGCAAATCTTCATAAAGTCCTAATATAAAAATTGTACTGTTAAAATTTCGCCTAAATAGTATGCATTAGGCGACGACTTACGTGGAAGTACAGTATACTGAATGTATGACAGTAATAAAAAAATTAAAACAACATAACTCACTCAGTTTTCCAAGTTAAGAGTAATTATTTGTATAAATCATTACAAAATTAAAACAAATTAATATTTCATACGAAAAAAAGATTTCGGTCTATCTGTATCGGTTGGGCTGCGACAAGGCACGCACTCCCGGACGCGATCCCACTACTGCTCACCACGGGGGCTCTTGGCTGCTGGGTGTCCCCTCTGGCCCGGTTTGCCCCTCCTTAGACAACCTGAACACCCTGAGCTCCCTCGGGGTACCCATGTCGATGGCGAGCTTAGTGCGGACGTCCGGTCAACATGCGCCACCAGGCCACAGTTGATCCCGACCTCAAGACATCCACGAAATCTGACCTCCGAGTAGCCGGATTACAAGAGACGCCACGCTCCCAGTCGAGGAAAAGACTTTATATCGTTGTTATAAGCGACTAAAATTTTAAACTTGAATTATAATAATTAGAACTTCAATTAGAATAATGGTAGTACAGTTATACACTTAGAATGATTTACCTATAACTTGAATAGTATTTTGTTGTATAGTTGTTGAAGCGAATAAAGAATTCAGTACTTTCAGTAGTTCCATGAATGCAGAAAGAAAGGTAAAATTGTCTTTCAATGGTCTAAATGATCGCAGGACATATGCGCATTAATAAAAAGTACAAATTTTGTTTCAATTCCTTTGGATTTTGTGACAGGATTTATAATATTCAAAGTTCACTTACATGGTTCAAATAAATGTACTCGACTTTTTCGACTGCATAAAACAGCGGACTTGAAAGATTAAAAAAACGTGATTTTACAACTTATTAATATATGTTAATATCAATAATTATTAAACATATAAATTATGAAATGCCACCTTAGATGGTAGTATTACAATTATACAACAAAATACTATTCAAGTTATAGGTAAATCATTCTAAGTGTATAACTGTACTACCATTATTGTAATTGAAGTTCTAATTATTATAATTCAATTTAAAATTTTAGCCGCTTATAACAACGATATAAAGTCTTTTCCTCGACTGGGAGCGTGGCGTCTCTTGTAATCCGGCTACTCGGAGGTCAGATTTCGTGGATGTCTTGAGGTCGGGATCAACTGTGGCCTGGTGGCGCATGTTGACCGGACGTCCGCACTAAGCTCGCCATCGACATGGGTACCCCGAGGGAGCTCAGGGTGTTCAGGTTG